CATCGTGTCAAAAAATCATATAGTCTTATTGTCTACCTCTCACCAACCCTCTTCCCTCAACACTCACCACACCCACACCACAAACAACTCACCACCCTTCACGCCCACATCACTCACCATACCTCACGCCCACAGGTGCCGCCCACGCTGACGAGAACCCATGTGAGGCTACGGACACGTCACCCATCGATTACCCGCAGGTGAGTCTTCCTCCCTCATCACAATAAATAGAAATAAATATAAATAGACGAATATATATCATAGATTATTTATTATAACATGAAAATACAATACGTTAAAAATAATATAAACGTCTTCAATACACAAGAAAATTACTGAAAGAAAAAACCACTTTCATACGGTGGCCCGGTGGCCTGGTGGCTAAAGCTCCCGCTTCACACACGGAGGGCCCGGGTTCGATTCCCGGCGGGTGGAAACATTTCGACACGTTTCCTTACACCTGTTGTCCTGTTCACCTAGCAGCAAATAGGTACCTGGGTGTTAGTCGACTGGTGTGGGTCGCATCCTGGGGGACAAGATTAAGGACCCCAATGGAAATAAGTTAGACAGTCCTCGATGACGCACTGACTTTCTTGGGTTATCCTGGGTGGCTAACCCTCCGGGGTTAAAAATCCGAACGAAATCTTATCTTATCTAACGATTATTTATAATGCAGTTCAGTAGATGCTTAAATCCCAGAATGGGAAGGTAAGACTGGTTTTCATTTGTGATTTATTATTTATCAGTGAAATGTTACTGCCACCGGATATAAAGCATGTTTATTTTCGAGAGTTTAATGAGAAAATATTGGATCTCAACGCCTTATAATAGGGATGTATTAAATTAAATTTGTTTATTGTTAAAATGTTGGCAAAAAAGAGTAGAGACGGTGGTGGACAGGGCCAAGTAAGGTTGACTAGAGACGGTGGTGGACAGGGCCAAGTAAGGTTGACTACAGACGGTGGTGGACAGGGCCAAGTAAGGTTGACTAGAGACGGTGGGGGACAGGGCCAAGTAACGTTGACTAGAGACTGTGGTGGACAGGGCCAAGTAAGGTTGACTAGAGACGGTGGTGGACAGGGCCAAGTAAGGTTGACTAGAGACGGTGGTGGACAGGGCCAAGTAACGTTGACTAGAGACGGTGGTGGACAGGGCCAAGTAAGGTTGACTAGAGACGGTGGTGGACAGGGCCAAGTAAGATTGACTAGAGACGGTGGTGGACAGGGCCAAGTAAGGTTGACTAGAGACGGTGGTGGACAGGGCCAAGTAACGTTGACTAGAGACGGTGGTGGACAGGGCCAAGTAAGGTTGACTAGAGACGGTGGTGGACAAGGCCAAGTAACGTTGACTAGAGACGGTGGTGGACAGGGCCAAGTAACGTTGACTAGAGACAGTGGTGGACAGGGCCAAGTAACGTTGACTAGAGACGGTGGTGGACAGGGCCAAATAACGTTGACTAGAGACGGTGGTGGACAAGGCCAAGTAAGGTTGACTAGAGACGGTGGTGGACAGGGCCAAGTAACGTTGACTAGAGACGGTGGTGGACAGGGCCTAGTAACGTTGACTAGAGACGGTGGTGGACAGGGCCAAGTAACGTTGACTAGAGACGGTGGTGGACAGGGCCAAGTAACGTTGACTAGAGACGGTGGTGGACAGGGCCAAGTAAGGCAGACTAGAGACGGTGGTGGACAGGGCCAAGTAACGTTGACTAGAGACGGTGGTGGACAGGGCCAAGTAACGTTGACTAGAGACGGTGGTGGACAGGGCCAAGTAAGGTTGACTAGAGACGGTGGTGGACAGGGCCTAGTAAGGTTGACTAGAGACGGTGGTGAACAGGGCTAAGTAAGGTTGACTAGAGACGGTGGTGGACAGGGCCAAGTAAGGTTGACTAGAGATGGTGGTGGACAGGGCCAAGCAAGGTTGACTAGAGACAGTGGTGGACAGGGACAAGTAAGGTTGACTAGAGACGGTGGTGGCCAGTGCCAAGTAAGGTTGACTAGAAACGGTGGTGGACAGGGCCAAGTAAGGTTGACTAGAGACGGTGGTGAACAGGGCCAAGTAACGTTGACTAGAGACGGTGGTGGACAGGGCCAAGCAAGGTTGACTAGAGACGGTGGTGGACAGGGCCAAGTAAGGTTGACTAGAGACGGTGATGAACAGGGCCAAGTAACGTTGACTAGAGACGGTGGTGGACAGGGCCTAGTAACGTTGACTAGAGACGGTGGTGGACAGGGCCAAGTAACGTTGACTAGAGACGGTGGTGGACAGGGCCAAGTAACGTTGACTAGAGACGGTGGTGGACAGGGCCAAGTAAGGCAGACTAGAGACGGTGGTGGACAGGGCCAAGTAACGTTGACTAGAGACGGTGGTGGACAGGGCCAAGTAACGTTGACTAGAGACGGTGGTGGACAGGGCCAAGTAAGGTTGACTAGAGACGGTGGTGGACAGGGCCAAGTAAGGTTGACTAGAGATGGTTGTGGACAGGGCCAAGTAAGGTTGACTAGAGACGGTGGTGAACAGGGCTAAGTAAGGTTGACTAGAGACGGTGGTGGACAGGGCCAAGTAAGGTTCACTAGAGATGGTGGTGGACAGGGCCAAGCAAGGTTGACTAGAGACAGTGGTGGACAGGGCCAAGTAAGGTTGACTAGAGACGGTGGTGGCCAGTGCCAAGTAAGGTTGACTAGAAACGGTGGTGGACAGGGCCAAGTAAGGTTGACTAGAGACGGTGGTGAACAGGGCCAAGTAACGTTGACTAGAGACGGTGGTGGACAGGGCCAAGCAAGGTTGACTAGAGACGGTGGTGGACAGGGCCAAGTAAGGTTGACTAGAGACGGTGATGAACAGGGCCAAGTAACGTTGACTAGAGACGGTGGTGAACAGGGCCAAGTAAGGTTGAATAGAGACGGTGGTGGACAGGGCCAAGTATGATTGACTGGAGACGGTGATGAACAGGGCCAAGTAACGTTGACTAGAGACGGTGGTGGACAGGGCCAAGTAAGGTTGACTAGAGACGGTGGAGGACAGGGCCAAGCAAGGTTGACTAGAGACAGTGGTGGACAGGGCCAAGTAAGGTTGACTAGAGACGGTGGTGGCCAGTGCCAAGTAAGGTTGACTAGAAACGGTGGTGGACAGGGCCAAGTAAGGTTGACTAGAGACGGTGGTGAACAGGGCCAAGTAACGTTGACTAGAGACGGTGGTGGACAGGGCCAATCAAGGTTGACTAGAGACGGTGGTGGACAGGGCCAAGTAAGGTTGACTAGAGACGGTGATGAACAGGGCCAAGTAACGTTGACTAGAGACGGTGGTGAACAGGGCCAAGTAAGGTTGACTAGAGACGGTGGTGGACAGGGCCAAGTAAGGTTGACTGGAGACGGTGATGAACAGGGCCAAGTAACGTTGACTAGAGACGGTGGTGGACAGGGCCAAGTAAGGTTGACTAGAGACGGTGGTGGACAGGGCCAAGTAACGTTGACTAGAGACGGTGATGAACAGGGCCAAGTAACGTTGACTAGAGACGGTGATGAACAGGGCCAAGTAACGTTGACTAGAGACGGTGGTGGACAGGGCCAAGTAAGGTTGACTAGAGACGGTGGTGGACAGGGCCAAGTAAGGTTGACTAGAGACGGTGGTGAACAGGGCCAAGTAAGGTTGACTAGAGACGGTGGTGGACAGGGCCAAGTAAGGTTGACTGGAGACGGTGATGAACAGGGCCAAGTAACGTTGACTAGAGACGGTGGTGGACAGGGCCAAGTAAGGTTGACTAGAGACGGTGGTGGACAGGGCCAAGTAACGTTGACTAGAGACGGTGATGAACAGGGCCAAGTAACGTTGACTAGAGACGGTGATGAACAGGGCCAAGTAACGTTGACTAGAGACGGTGGTTGACAGGGCCAAGTAAGGTTGACTAGAGACGGTGGTGGACAGGGCCAAGTAAGGTTGACTAGAGACGGTGGTGAACAGGGCCAAGTAAGGTTGACTAGAGACGGTGGTGGACAGGGCCAAGTAAGGTTGACTAGAGACTGTGGTGGACAGGGCCAAGTAAGGTTGACTAGAGACGGTGGTGGACAGGGCCAAGTAAGGTTGACTAGAGACTGTGGTGGAACAGGGCCAAGTAAGGTTGACTAGAGACGGTGGTGGACAGGGCCAAGTAAGGTTGACTAGAGACGGTGATGAACAGGGCCAAGTAACGTTGACTAGAGACGGTGGTGGACAGGGCCAAGTAAGGTTGACTAGAGACGGTGATGAACAGGGCCAAGTAACGTTGACTAGAGACGGTGGTGGACAGGGCCAAGTAAGGTTGACTAGAGACGGTGATGAACAGGGCCAAGTAACGTTGACTAGAGACGGTGGTGGACAGGGCCAAGTAAGGGTGACTAGAGACGGTGGTGGACACTGCCAAGTAAGGTTCCTGCTGGTTGGTGGAGCAACTCCTGGAGACGTAAGAGTGAAGTGTGTGAGGAGGAGGTTAAATACACTTTCTAGCACAGTGCTTGCACTGTTATACAGACATGTACAGTGTAAATTGCATTTACATGTCTGCATAACTTGGATAGTGGTTACATGTATACCGAATAGTAAATATTGAAGCTGCCAAGAATGGAGTTATGGCAATAATGCGTCAACATTTTTGGTGGTATTTTCGTACACAGGACGAGTGTTGTTTAAAAAAAAGTCGCCTTTCGAGACAAAAATTTAAACTCTAGAACCTCATAAACGACTGCTTTCCTCCTCTACTTTGTATTACCGGTTTCACTGTTCCTCTTAAACTCTTCTCTGAGTCAAGTTTTGTAAACTTTCTCCTACACTTTCTCACTCTCACAGGCGCTCTGCATGTCATTCTTCTTCTACGAAGCTCAACGGTCCGGTAAACTACCAGAAAATAACCGCGTCCCATGGCGAGGTGACTCTGCCCTGGACGACGGTGCTGATGTGGGCCATGACCTTACTGGTGGATACTACGATGGTAAGCAATCACACACACACACACACCACGGGAGGAACGAGGGACAAAGGGAGATATAATCATGACATACAAAAATATTTCTGGATATTATTAGGGTAGACTATGATAAACTCTTGGCGGGAGATATAACAAAAATAAGAGAATTTGGTTGAAAATTACTTTAACTAGGCCAAAGGAATATCAGAAAACATTTCTTTTATATAAAACTGATGTAGAAGTTGAATAATGTGATCACTGGGAAACAGACAGCGTACAAGAATTCATATATATAATAGCAAATGGGGTTTTTGACGTCAGTACGTCGAAAGCATAGAGAAAAGACCTAGAGCTAGAGGTCATCCCTTACGCAGATTCAAACAACTAATCATATATATTTTGAAATCGCAAGATAGAACAAAACTTTACTTTTATCGAAGAGCAAATCCTTATCAGCAAATCCCCATCAGAGTGATATTTTTCATAGTATGACTTGAAAAAGATTACCAGTGAGAGAAATGCGAATAAAGATTACCTCGTGTTTCAATTAATTTACCATTCAGCCTCAGGTTTATAGCCTTAATCTGGTAATTCCATTATCTGTTTTAACCTCTCCCACAGCTGGTGACATGGTTAAGTACGGCTTCCCTATGTCCTTTTCCATCACCATGTTGGCCTGGGGTCTCCTCGACTTCTCTGACGGCTACAGTAAAGCGGGTGAGTTTATTTCAGCTTCACTGGCTTATTGCTGATTCTGGTGATGGATCGCCCTGTTGGTACGGGTAAAACTTCAGATCTTATTCTTGCCAATTCTCCAAACATTTCGTCAAGTGGAAAAGAAAAGTCAGTGTACATCTCTGATGTATACTGACTTTCTTCCTTCGCATGGAGGAAAAAGAAATTAATACAGCTCTTCCTTTACTGTCTCGTTTTTTCTTTCTTACCTTCATTTACTTTCCATTAATAACAACTCCTTTTATTTAGTCTGTAAAAACACTGTGTTGGTTCAGAAAGGATACAAGCTAACACGGGAACAACAACAAAATTATCCATGAGTGGAACAAGCCGTCAAGTAGCGTCATCTATGTGATTACTGAATGGTAGTGAGTTAGATCAAGTAAGATCTACCTAGCAGAGGGTAGCAGGTCGATTGTAATAATCTCTATGTCAGTGTATTAAATCCCACGAGGACGCATAAATAAAACATAGACTATAAAGGATTTTCATATCTCGGCCTGAATTCTGTTACATTTTCTCTCACTGTCGGATTTCTTGTTTATTGAGTATTGTTTACAACATTAAAATATCGTTTATATGTTGTTATTGTTCACAGGCCAGACTGATTACGCGTTGGATGCCATCAAGTGGGGTACTGTCTACTTCATCAAGTGTTACACCTCAACGAATGAGTTCTGGGGCCAGGTGAGCACATAGTTAACTTATGATAGTTATATTGTAGAAGTACCCGCAGTGTGAAGGTCATTGTGGGAACACCCGCAGTGTGAAGGACATTGTGGGAACACCCGCAGTGTGAAGGTCATTGTGGGAACACCCGCAGTGTGAAGGTCATTGTGGGAACACCCGCAGTGTGAAGGTCATTGTGGGAACACCCGCAGTGTGAAGGACATTGTGGGAGCTACTCTGTTCATAGTGGAAATAAAAACTAAATGTATTTACAGTTTGGGTTGCGTACATGAGGAAGGGAAATTTATAAAACTGGAGATTCTAGAGCATGAGAAGGACGACAGGCTTCATAAATGGGCCCTGGACCCATGGTTAACACACTCGCTTGCTAGTTTTAGGACACGCCCGCCATGGGTTCGAGATCCACCCATTATGGGATTCGTTTGCAATCGCTTAATTGCGATTTCGTGAGTCAATGGACTTAATATTATTTAGTGCAGGCATAACGCACATATATTCAAAAAAAGAATGTAATACAGGCAAAAAATTACATGTCTATGGTCGTTTTTCAGGTCGGAAACAGTGAAATTGACCACTACTTGTGGGAACGACCAGAAGTTATGACAGAGGAACGACCTTCTTACAAGATTGACGAGGAAAATCCTGGTTAGTGTAACTGTGTTCTGATAATCCTGTATGGTCAGTTGGGGTCCTGATGACCCTGGCTGGTCAATCAGAGTCCTGATGATACACAAATGAACTACAGCCTTCACCCCACAACTCCTTGTTTCTCATCGTAGTATTTTGAACTAACAGAATGTCTTATCTCTCACTAGAAATGATGTCTCTCAGTTTAGTGATACATACGTTAATGGAAGTAATCCAGACGAACTAGAGAAGTTGTTGAATGTACATTTATTGTCGAAACGCTTCGCCTGCACAGCAGGCTTATTTTCAGTCGAATACAGAGATGATTTGGTACTGAAGACAGTGGAAAAAGAGGAGAGGTAGAGTAGAGAAGTGAGTAATCGGTCATTTTTCTGGTCTCAGGTACGGAACTGGCTGCTGAGACAGCTGCCGCTCTTGCTGCTTCCTACTTGGTGTTCAGGGTCAGTTTTCTCTATGTTGTTTTCATTTCCTGTTACTTGTTCCCTGTTGTTTAGGTTGCTTCCTTCCGTTTCGTTCTTTTCCTGTTACTTCTTCCTCAGTGTTATTCTCCTGTTGTTCCCTTCCTAATTTTTTCTTAATATTTCCTGCCACTTTCTTCCTGTCACTGTTTTCCTCCTCTCTCTTCTCCAGTAGCAACTCCTGTTCTTTCACTAATGTCTTTCCTTGCTACTTCCCCCGATACTTCCCTTGCTACTTTCTTCACAACTTCATTTGCCACTTCCCTCCACTACTTCCATCTCTACTTTCCCTACTTTCTACTTCCCTTGCTAATTCCCTCGCTACTTCCCTTGCTACATTCTTCTCTACTTCCTTTGTTACTTCCTCGCTATTTCTCGCTACTTCCCTTGCTACTTCCCTCGCTATTCCTTCGCTACTTTCATTGCTACCTCCCTCACTACTTCTCTCGCTACTTTCCTCTATACTTCCTTCACTACTTCCCTCTCTTCTTTCCTTGCTACTTCCCTTGCTATTTCACTGCTACTTCCTTCTCTACTTCCCTCGCTATTTCCCCCTCACTACTTCCCTCGCTACTTCCCTTGCTACTCCTCTTATTACTTTCTTTGCTACTTCCCTCGCTACTTCCCTTGCTATTTTCCTCACTACTTCCCATGTTACTTACCTTACTACCTCCCTCACTATTTTTCCTATTTCCTCCTCACTACTTCCCTCAGCACTCACCCCGTCACTTCCCGCCTCAGGATACGGACGCTGACTACGCCGAGGAGTTACTAGCCCTGGCCAAGGAACTCTACGAGTTCGGTGATAACTTCCGTGGAAACTACGACGATGCGATCCCGGACGCCTACGAGTAAGTACGCGTCTGATGCGAGGGAAGGAAGGAGGAGTAGCTCCACTTCCCTGGATCGGGAGCTTTTCCCAGTATCAGCGACACTATGAACACCAGAATTTTCCCGAGGACAATGAATTGTACTGTTTGATGCCGGTTAATTGGAGTTGCTTCCTGGCTGCCATTTATTTTTATAATTTCAATAATGCTTTCGATATTTACGGTATATATCAAGAAAAAATAATTATGTATATATCATTAATTGTTTTTTCGTATTTGACGACGAGTACCGGAGACTTGAAGCTTCTCCCGGTATTCGCTGTCTCTGATTGGTCAGGTTCCTGAAGAATAAATCTTACGTCTTTCACCCGACAACAAATTTATTCTATGTATTTCTGCAGTTCATTTAACGGGTATGGTGACGAGCTGCTCTGGGCTGCTCTGTGGCTGTACAGAGCAACGGAGGACGAGAGTTACCTCACCCGCGCCGAGGGTCACTGGGACGAGTTCAACTTTGAGTACTCAGCAGCTTTTCAGTTCTCCTGGGACGACAAGACGGCCGGAATCTATGTGAGTCTCACTGCATGAGAGAGCTTATTGTCGACGAGTGTAGAGACAAAGATTCAAAGTTCCGCTACATGTAGAGCTTTATCATGTCATGAATCGCCAGTCTTTGTCACAAAGGAAAGCTTCTTTTGCTGCTTCATTTTTGGCTTCATGTTAAGCTTCCTGTTATAGAGTTCAGACTGTTAGAACGTCACCTTGAGGACGAAATACGAAGGTTCTCCTTGTGCTGTTGTCCATGTGTCTTTAAGTATCTCCTTCGTATTCGAAACCTCTGTCTTCACTGTTTCTAAAATTACTGTTAAGCATTTCTTCGTAAACTGTTGATTAATTTTAGAAAATATCGTAAAAACTCGTGAATAAATAAAAATATGAAAAAAATAATGCGTAGGTGTGTTTGGTAAATTTAAAAAACACAACACACACAACCTGCACATAAGAGAGAGAAACTTATGACGACGTTTCGGTCCTTGAACAATTAACTAGTCAAACTAACACACGAAGATAAGGGTATTGTCACACCTCAATTAAACATCTAGCTGGTACGTCACATTTTGTGTTCCTAAACGAGTTCTTGTGATTCCCACAGGCGCTCTTCTGGCTGCTGGACGGTTCACAGAAATATCTGGACCACCTCACCACCTACCTGGATTACCTGCAGAACACCGCCCCATACACCCCAGAGGGTCTGGTCTTCCTCTCTGAGTGGGGATCAAACAGGCATGCTGCTAATGTTGCCTTCCTCGCTCTCTGGGTTAGTTGTTTCGCTATAGTTCCACTCTGATATTTTTTTTAAGATACTGACCGTCTCCCACCAAGGCAGGGTGACTCAATGAAGGAAATACATTTACCGTCACTCATTCATTAGCTGTCTTGCCAGATGTAAGCAGACATCAGCGTTCTAACCCATTCTTCAGAGTGTAGGTACTGTACTTCCCACCTCCAAGACTCAAGTCCGTCTAATGTTAATAATAATAATAATAATAATAATAATAATAATAATAATAATAATAATAATAATAATAATAATAATAATAATAATAATAATAATAATAATAATCTTTATTTCTACAATTACTTGATACAACTTATATACAGAAAACTTCAACACAGACAATAATTATTTACCTATAACATAAAGTCATCGACACCATGCCTAACCCTTCTAGGGTAGGGTAGGTGCCTGAGCCCGAGCTTACAGCTCCCAAGACTGTCATTCCCATTAGCCCCTTTGGGGCGGGGATGGAAGACCAGAGAGGCCTAGCTTATGGCTAGGCCTGGGGACAGTTGGTCCCAAAGATGAGGAGGTACTTGTGCCTCCTCCCATGGGAGACTTCGGTCTCAGACACTCCCTAAAGAGGGAGCCAAAGCCGGGCCACCACTTGGAAAAAGCCCGAGCCGGGAGAATACCGGCGAATCTTTAATAATAATAATAACATAAAGTCCCTTCTTGCGCAAGATCAGCTGTCATCTGTATTAGTTGTTTCTCTTTTGTTTCTAGTACGCAAACAAAAATAACTCTTTTAAACTGTCTAGCTACAACACAAAATGTGATCTTTAGGCTCTGCTGCTGTCAGAACCTCGACAAAAGAATAAGTAAGTTTATTCAGGTATACACAAATACAGTTACATAGATTATCATACATAGCAGCATATGTGTAAAGAAAATAGGATATCACAAAAAAGACAGACGAACATTTGGCTAAAAACTCTTTCAATTTTTTAGGGGGATGACCTGTAGAGTTTAAGGCTTGTGCAAGTATCCATACCATGGGATGATTAACAGAAAAATAATCGGGTGGACGAGAAGAAGTTATGAATTTGTAGCTCATCAGGAGACAACTCTTAAAATTTAGATTTCCAACAGAAATATAAAGTGTGTTTTTATGTGTGCATGTGTGAGAATTCCAGCCTTGATGAGTCGCTTCTACATTTCAAGGCTGCCAAACAAGGTGTGGACACGTCAGTGAACAGCGAGTGGGGTCAGGATCAGATGGACCAGCTTCTGGGTGCCAACTCTCGCTACAACATGACCTTCGTTGTGGGCTTCGGTGACAAGTATCCTGAAAGACCTCACCATCGCTCCAGGTACACACATATGACAATTTTGCGATATTTGTATCAATACCAGTTACAAATGTGAATTGTTTCAGCTGCGCCACTGTGACTCTTAATTTTCTCTAACGTTATTCTAATTACTGCTGAAGCCAACTGAAACAAGAATGCAAAACAGATGAGACAAAACTTGAGTTTTCTAACGTGATCTCTCTCCTTGATCTTCAGCTCGTGTCCCGACCCCCCTGAGGTTTGTGACTTCGGCTGGGCTTTCACCCAGCCTGGACCCAACCCACACGTCCTATATGGTGCCTTGGTCGGTGGACCAGATGAGGTTGGTAACTCTAACTACCTGGATCGAGGCAGATTAAAGTGCTTTTGTTAATTGGGATTATCACTCGTTATCCTCCATAGTTTCTTGTTCAGTCTGTTGGCATTATTTCTAATTTTTATCAAATACTTTAAGAGTGAGAATCTTGCTGTAAGAGACGGTTTGTCTAGTATTAAATTCATGAACGTAAGACACAGGAATCTTATATCTTTTTCGCGTGTATTAAAGATTTCTTTATCATGCGTGACCTTATCTGTGACCTCCTTGCCATCAGTGACCTAAACGTGTATTGTGTGATCTCGTCAACAATGTTAGCCTTGCTTTCATGTCGTGTTTCCCTTCCTCAGAACGGCGACTACGAGGACGACCGCTCTAACTACGTGCAGAATGAAGTCGCCTGTGACTACAATGCAGCCTACAGCGGTGCTCTAGCTGCTGTCATAGAGCTTATTTGAGCTTCTCACGTAGAGCTTAGTTAAGAGCTGCTCTTACAGATCTCAGAAGATTCTTCGCCTCGCGATACTAAATGCATTGTCTAAGCAACGATTGCTGAGTCTGCTGTCACATATCTCTCTCTCTCTCTCTCTCTCTCTCTCTCTCTCTCTCTCTCTCTCTCTCTCTCTCTCTCTCTCTCTCTCTCTCTCTCTCTCCCCTCTCTCTCTCTCTCTCTCTTTCTCTCTCATCAATAACTACTCATTTCTTATTCTCTCTTTAATTGATTATCCAAATTAATTCGACTGAATCAGATAACTTGGCTTCTGAATGGAAATTTATTAAATTAAAAGAAAATAATGTCCATTGTTATCCTTATGATGTATTTTTTCATACTAGTTAGGCAGTCTAGCCAAAAATTGTATAAAATGCAGAGAAATTGAAGATTAAGACACATATGCAACAGTTGGGTATACTTATTGAGGAAACGTTTCGCCTACATAGTAGGCTTCTTCACTCAAATACAAAGGAAGAAGTAATAATGAAATAAAGATTCTGTAATCAGTCCTTCATCTTTGGAGAGAAAGTAATTGAGGTGGTCAGTCCGTCAGCCTGGAGAAGAGTTGACTTGAGAACTGAGTGTGTGTGTGTGACCCTGTGAGAGGGGTTAATGGAGCTGGGATTGATGAAACCAAGACAGAATTGTTAAAAGCAGGTGGAAAATAGTTGTGAAGTGGTTGGTGTTTCTATTTAATAAATCTATGAAAGAGGGGAAGGTACCTAGGGATTGGCAGAAAGCATGTATAGTTCCTTTGTATAAACGCAAAGGCGACAAAAGGGAGAGTAAAAAACATAAGAGAATAAGCACGGTGCTTATACCTGATAGGTAGTTATTACCTGACCTACATCATTTGTGGTCACAGAGTGGTGGTTCATGCTAACATCCCCCCTCCTCTGGTGTATAGAAATACACCTAGATGGATGAATCTAATATAACCAGCTGGCTCAGTGGCTTACGTACTGACTTGGATTATTACGACTCACCCGCCATTAGTTCTAACCCCACCCATTAAGAGATATGATTAGATTTCGTTCGAATTTTTAACCCCAGGGAGTTAGCCACTCAGGATAACCAAGAAAAGCATTGCGTCATCGAGGACTGTCTGTCTTATTTCCATTGGGGTCCTTAAATCTTGTCCTCCAGGATGCGACCCACACCAGTCGACTAACACCCAGGTACCTACTTACCTGCAACGTGAACGGGAAAGCAGGTGTAAGGCAACATGCCCAATGTTTCCACCTTGTCGAGGATTGTACCACGGACACTCAGTGTCCTTGGTTTGAAAAGGCTCTTGGAGCCGGGGAGAGAGTGGACCTAGTAGTGACTAGCGGTAAGGACGGGCCAGGAACTGTGAATCGACCCCTGCAGCTACACATAGATGAGTACACACACACACACACACACACACACACACACACACACACACACACACACACACACACACACATACAAACTAACACAACCACTGGACACCGTGGGTTAAATCATGTCGTAATGGTCGCAGGGGATTTGTGTATACTTCAGTTTCTTTAGAAGGACTGTTAGAAGAATTTTTCTGAGTGAGATCACCAACTGAAGCGCTGACAAGAGTGGGGTCTTGTGTTGCTCACGGCAAGAGCTTATATAGTGTGAGTAACTACATTATAACAAGGGAAAATCTGGATCTTTTTATATCTTGCTGCCGGTGGATTGTGTTGGAATGTTTTGAGCACTGCGTCTGCAGTCCTGGATAAACCGAGTGGTGAAGTCAAGACAAGTCAATATCGGTGGAATGTAGGAACATTTCTCCAAAAACACAGCAGACAGGGCTATAGATGTGTAGAATCCTCTGGAGAAAATTTTTATGACCATCCAGTGTTTGTACAAGAATCATGTTGCTAAAAGAAGTGTGTGTGAGGTCGCCATATAAAGCTTCTCGAGGAAGGGAAGCTTACCTTCAACCTCAAGGTCAAGTGTAAACATAATGGTTGATCTCGTGTTGTTGAGTTTGTGCAGGAGCTCTTTGCGTTTTCAGACATCTGGGGTAATGGACTAAGATGTCATCACCATCCAGAACCTATATGAAGGTTTTTCGAAATGTTTGTAGAAGAGGTTCTCTTCATACCTACTGGGTCGCCAGCGTTGGCAGGATGCTAGTCTGATCTGCTGTGAACCAGGTAAGGCGTAGGGGCTGGACTCGTCTCCACCTTCAACATTATCGTTCATAAAGCTGGTAGTTATAATACGCCCATCACATTAGCGTATGTGACGTTAGATCTTGTTTAAACCAAACTGCCACACGACACAACCGTAAGTAAACCATTCTCCATTTCCGACGTTCTTCACCGACTACTACTACTACTACTACCAATAATAATAATAATAATAAAATAATAAAAATAATAATAATAATAATAATAATAATAATAATAATAATAATAATAATAATAACAATAATACAGCACTCTAATGCCCTTATATATAGCCTGTCTTCCGTCATATTAATCATGTCTTTGAAGTGATGAAAGTCAAAGTAACGAAACACTTTCAATAAAGATGCCCTAAGTGAAAGGGTTCATGTTCATTTCTCTGAAGTTGTCGGCAGATACTTGCTTCATATTTCATTTATAAGTTCAAGGTTCACCTGATGTATGAGAAACAACAGCTGCAACAAACCCACAGCTGAGGCGTGTGTATGTTGTGTGTGTGTGTGTGTGTGTGTGTTTATAAGAGAGAAGGTAAGACCCACGATCACCACATACTTCTGCAGTCATGGTTACTGGAGCTCTGGTGAACACCTGCCTGCTGGGGGCGCTCGCCCTCCTCTGTATAGGTATGGACTAGTTTAAAACACACACACACACACACACACACACACACACACACACACACACACACACACACACACACACACACACACTCACACACACGCAAGCTGGACAGAGACAAGATGTTCCAGAGATGGGACACAGTAACAAGGGGTCACAGTTGGAAGTTGAAGACTCGGATGAATCACAGACACAGCTAAAACAACAGACACAGCTAAAAAAACAGACACAGCTAAAACAACAGACACAACAGACTTAGAAAAGGTGCGAAGATGATATATAAAAATGAGTAAATAGGGATAAAAAAAGGGTGTCCAGGATGCCTGATAACAGCGGCAGATGATAACAACAGATAATACTTTAACGATGACGGGAAGATAAAGATAAGGGAAATTTTCTTAGTGTTAGCAAAAGGAAAAACACACCCCAACACACACACACACACAAAACACCACACACACACACACACACACACACACACCACACACACACACCCACACGCACATGAAGATTGGGGAAGAGCAAAGAAGACCGCAGACACAATATAGTTTAGACGGCCAAAGTCTTCAAACCTCACTCAAGGAAAACGACCTGGGAGTGAGTATAACACCGAGCATATCTCCTGAGGCGCACATCAATCAGATAACTGCTGCAGCATACTGGCGCCTGGCAAACCTACCGAAAGCGTTCCGATACCTCAGTAAGGATTCGTTCAAGACTCTGTATACCATTTACGTCAGGCCCATACTGGAGTATGCAGCACCAGTTTGGAATCCACACATAGTCAAGCACGTCAAGAAATTAGAGAAAGTGCAAAGGTTTGCAACAAGGCTAGTCCCAGAGCTACGGGGATTGTCCTACGAAGAAAGGTTGAGGGAAATCGGCCTGACGACACTGGAGGCCAGGGGGTCAGGGAGACATGATAACGACATATAAAATACTGTGCGGAATAGACGAGGTGGACAAAGACGGTATGTTCCAGAGATGGGACACAGACACAAGAGGTCACAATTGGAAGTTGAAGACTCAGGTGAATCAAAGGGATGTTAGGAAGTATTTCTTCAGTCATAGAGTAGTCAAGCCGTGGAATAGCCTAGAAAGTGAAGTAGTGGAGGCGGGAACCATACATAGTTTTAAGGCGAGGTATGATAAAGCTCATGGAGCAGGGAGAGAGAGTCATGGTACGTGAAGAGGTATCACAGTGGGCGCCTGTTACGAGCGGGGTCCCACAGGGGTCAGTTCTAGGACCAGTGCTTTTTTGATATATGGGGAACGAAAAGATGGAAGGAATAGACTCTGAAGTGTCCCTGTTCGCAGATGACGTGAGGTTGATGAAAATAATTAAATCGGACGAGGATGAGGCGGGGACTGCAAAGAGACCTGGACAGGCTGGACATGTGATCCAGCAACTGGCTTCTCGAATTCAATCCAGCCAAATGCAAAGTCATGAAAAATTGGGGAGGGGCAAAGAAGACAGCAGACAGAGTATAGGCTAGGTGGAAAAGACTACAGACCTCACTCGGGGAGAAAGACCTAGGGTGACCATAAACCGAGCACATCACCGGGCACACATCAATCAAATAACCGCTGCAGCATAGGGGCGCCTGGCAAACCTGAGAATAGCGTTCCGATACCTTAATAAGGAATCGTTCAAGACACTGTACACTTGTGTATGTTTGGCCCATACTGGAGTATGCAGCACCAGTCTGGAACCCACACCTGGTCAAGCACGTCAAGAAGTTAGAGAAAGTACAAAAGGTTTTTTCAACAAGGCTAGTCCCAGAGCTCACGGGAATGTCGTACGAGGAAAAGGTTAAGGGAAATCGGGCTGAAGACACTGGAGGACAGAAGGGTGAGGGGAGACATGATAAAAGACATACAAGATACTGCAGGGAATAGACAAGGTGGACAGAGATAGGATGTTCCAGAAAAGGGGGGCACAGGGACAAGGGGTCACAAACTGGAAGCTGAAGACTCAGACGAGTCACAGGACGTTAGGAAGTATTTCTTCATCATAGAGTTGTCGCAAGTGGAATAGCCTAGCAAGTGAAGTAGTGGAGGCAAAGGAACCATACATAGTTTTAAGGGAAAAGGTATGCAAAGCTCAGGAAGCAGAGAGAGAGAGGATCCAGTAGCGATCAGTGAAGAGGCGGGGCCAGGAGCTGAGTCTCGACCCCTGCAACCACAATTAGGTGAGTACATACACAACACACAAAACACACACACCACACACACACACACACACACACACATACACACACACACACACACACACATACACAACACACACAAAACACACAGAAAGACAGAGTTAGGAAAATGTTTGACTTCTGCTCTTCCCTTACAAATGCAATCATTTTAAACATTCAATACGTACTTGCATGCAGAAAGAGACACAGACACAGACACAGACACACACACACACACACACACACACACACACACACACACACACACACACACACACACACACACACACACACACACACACACACAAGTGGAGGGGGAAGCAGGAAGGCCAGGACAAATAAAACCAAACTACAGGAAAGGGGACTACACAGGAATGAGGAACTTCCTGAATGAGGTTAAGTGGGACAGAGAACTGGCAGGGAAGCCAGTTAATGAGATGATGGAATATGTAGCAACAATGATAACATCTCCCCATGGGTCCTGAGAGAGGGAGCAGAGGCGCTATGTGTACCCCTAACAACAATATTCAATACATCTATCGAAACAGGGAGATTGCCTGAGGCATGTAAGACAGCAAATGTGGTCCCAATCTTTAAAAAAGGAGACAGACATGAAGCACTAAACTACAGACCAGTGTCACTGACATGTATAGCATGCAAAGTCATGGAAAAGATTGTCAGGAGAAGAATGGTGGAACATCTAGAAAGGAATGATCTCATCACCAGCAGCCAACATGGTTTCAGAGACGGAAATCCTGTGTCACAAACCTACTGGAGTTCTATGACATGGTGACAGCAGTAAGACAAGAGAGAGAGGGGTGGGTGGATTGCATTTTCTTGGACTGCAAGAAGGCATTTGACACAGTACCACACAAGAGATTAGTGCAAAAACTGGAGGACCAAGCAGGGATAACAGGGAAGGCACTGCAATGGATCAGGGAATACTTGTCAGGAAGAAAGCAGCGAGTAATGGTACGTGGCGAGGTGTCAGAGTGGGCACCTGTGACCAGCGGGGTCCCACAGGGGTCAGTCCTAGGACCAGTGCTGTTTCTGGTATTTGTGAACGACATGATGGAAGGAATAAACTCCGAGGTGTCCCTGTTTGCAGATGACGTGAAGTTGATGAGAAGAGTTCATTCGATCGAAGACCAGGCAGAAATACAAAGGGATCTGGACAGGCTGCAGACCTGGTCCAGCAATTGGCTCCTGGAGTCCAATCCCACCAAGTGCAAAGTCATGAGGATTGGGGAAGGGCAAAGAAGACCGCAGACGGAGTGCAGTCTAGGGGGCCAGAGACTACAAACATCACTCAAGGAAAAAGATCTTGGGGTGAGTATAACACCAGGCACATCTGAAGCGCACATCAACCAAATAACTGCCGCAGCATATGGGCGCCTGGCAAACCTCAGAACAGCATTCCGACATCTTAATAAGGAATCATTCAGGACCCTGTACGCCGTGTACGTTAGGCCCATATTGGAGTATGCGGCACCAGTTTGGAACCCACACCTAGCCAAGCATGTAAAGAAACTAAGGAAGTGCAAAGGTTTGCAACAAGACTAGTCCCAGAGTTAAGAGGTAATGTCCTATGAGGAGAGGTTAAGGGAAATCAACCTGACGACACTGGAGGACAGGAGAGATAGGGGGGACATGATAACGACATACAAAATACTGAGAGGAATTGACAAGGTGGACAAAGACAGGATGTTCCAGAGATTGGACACAGTAACAAGGGGACACAGTTGGAAGCTGAAGACACAGATGAATCAAAGGGATGTTAGGAAGTATTTCTTCAGCCACAGAGTAGTCAGGAAGTGGAATATTTTGGGAAGCGATGTGTAGTGGAGGCAGGATCCATACATAGCTTTAAGCAGAGGTACGATAAAGCTCATGGTTCAGGGAGAGTGACCTAGTAGCGACCAGTGAAGAGGAGGGGGCAGGGGCTTGGACTCGACCCCTGCAACCTCAACTAGGTGAGTACAACTAGGTGAGTACACACACACACACACACACACACACACACACACACACACACACACACACACACACACACACACACACACACACACACAACACACACACACACACACACACACACACACACACACACACACACACAGAACACACACACACACACACACACACACCACACACACACACACACACAACCACACACACACACACACACACACACACACACACACACACACACACACACACACACACACACACACACACACACACACACACACACACACACACACACAGAACACACACACACACACACACACACACACACACACACACACACACACACACAACACACACACACACACACACACACACACACACACACACACACACACATATGCACTTTATCACTATCACTCTTGTCACAACTCCTCACGCCCACCCCCACTCACTCACTACCTCTCACGCCCACACCCCACTCACTCACTACCTCTCACGCCCACACCCCACTCACTCACTACCCCTCACGCCCACAGATACCGCCCACGCCGACGTGAACCCGTGCACTACCACAGGCATGTCACCCATCGACTACCAGCAGGTGAGTCAGAAATAAATGACTATAAAAATATTAAATGAAAAAAATATATATAAAAATAAACGAATAAATCAAAATAAATTTATCAATATAGATATAAAAAAATAATGCAGTAAGAGAGAATTATCATATTTTTTTCATTATACAAAATTTTGATTAAAAAAATTATATTCCTTCGGCAATGATTTAAAATTTATTATACACAGAATATATACACTGAGATGTGTATATCTCTCAGTGTATATACACTGAGAGGTGTATGTCTCTCAGTGTATATACACTGAGAAGTGTATGTCTCTCAGTGTATATACACTGAGAGGAATATGTCTCTCAGTGTATATACACTGAGAGGAATATGTCTCTCAGTGTATATACACTGAGAGGAATATGTCTCTCAGTGTATATACACTGAGAGGAGTATGTCTCTCAGTGTATATACACTGAGAGGTGTATGTCTCTCAGTGTATATACACTGAGATGTGTATATCTCTCAGTGTATATACACTGAGAGGTGTATGTCTCTCAGTGTATGTACACTGAGAGATGTATGTCTCTCAGTGTATATACACTGAGAGGTGTATATCTCTCAGTGTATATACACTGAGAGGTGTATGTCTCTCAGTGTATATACACTGAGAGGTGTATATCTCTCAGTGTATATACACTGAGAGGTGTATGTCTCTCAGTGTAATATACACTGAGAGGTGTATGTCTCTCAGTGTATATACACTGAGAGATGTATGTCTCTCAGTGTATATACACTGAGAGGTGTATGTCTCTCAGTGTATATACACTGAGTAGGTGTATGTCTCTCAGTGTATATACACTGAGAGGTGTATGTCTCTCAGTGTATATACACTGAGAGGTGTATGTCTCTCAGTGTATATACACTGAGATGTGTATATCTCTAGGAGTATATACACTGGTAGTTCACTTTGATCACTCTTTTAGGTATTAAAATATTCTTGACTGGTGGTAAACAGGTAACATGCAGCCTTAATGACTCATTGTGTAGTAAATAGGCTCGAAACTCCTCATTTACCAACTAATTTATTTGTGAATTGTAAATGGTTACACCCACGGTATTGTAGATTGTAAATTATTCCAACTATGGTATTGTGAGTTGTAAATAGTTCCAGCTACGGCATTGTGGATTGTAAATTGTTCCACCGACGGTATTGTGGATTGTAAATTGTTCCAGCTACGGTATCGCGGATTAAAAATAGTTCCAGCTACGGTATTGCGAATTGTAAATTGTTCCAGCTACGGTATCGCGGATTGTAAATTGTTCCTCCGACGGTATTCTGGACTGTAAATTGTTCCAGCTACGGTATTGCGGATTGTAAATTGTTCCAGCTACGGTATCGCGGATTGTAAATTGTTCCACCCACGGTATTGTGGATTGTAAATTGTTCCACCGACGGTATTGCGGATTGTAAATTGTTCCAGCTACGGTATTGCGGATTGTAAATTGTTCCAGCTACGGTATCGCGGATTGTAAATTGTTCCTCCGACGGTATTCTGGACTGTAAATTGTTCCAGCTACGGTATCGCTGATTGTAAATTGTTCCACCCACGGTATTGTGGATTGTAAATTGTTCCACCGACGGTATTGTGGAGTGTAAATTGTTCCAGCTACGGTATCGCGGATTAAAAATAGTTCCAGCTACGGTATTGTGAGTTGTAAATTGTTCCAGCTACGGTATCGCGGATTGTAAATTGTTCCTCCGACGGTATTCTGGACTGTAAATTGTTCCAGCTACGGTATCGCGGATTGTAAATTGTTCCACCCACGGTATTGTGATTTGTTATTCTTCGTGGGTCACATTCCTGCACTCTCATAATTTTAATAGGGAAAATAATATTTAATTTGTAAATAATGACTCCAATCAGTAGAGCTTTTGGACATCTGACTGAAGCCTTATCCTGGCTTCTCGGTCATCACTGTAAAAGTAGTGAAAAAGCCAAAGACGAACTGGTAAAAAGTCTTAATTATTTGAGATGAGATATACTGTCACTATGGTGGAGTGTTCACTCAGGATGAGTGGCACTGATCATTACTGTCACTATGGTGGAGCGTTCACTCAGGATGAGTGGCACTGATCATTACTGTCACTATGGTGGAGTGTTCACTCAGGATGAGTGGCACTGATCATTACTGTCACTATGGTGGAGTATTCACTCAGGATGAGTGGCACTGATCATTACTGTCACTATGGTGGAGTGTTCACTCAGGATGAGTGGCACTGATCAGTATTGCCATAATGGTGGTGTTTTCATTGATAGGACAATTGGTAGTGGACAAAAATATCGCTCTTCGAGGCGATAACTGCGTCTCATCTCCACTTGGTAATGCTGCTTTCACTGTTCCTCTTAAACTCTCCTCTAGGTCTGGTTTTCTAAATTTTCTTGTCCATCTCACACTCACAGGCGCTCTGCATGTCATTATTCTTCTATGAAGCCCAGAGGTCAGGTTATCTACCAGCAAACAAACATGTTTCCTGGCGGAATGACTCTGGTCTGGACGACGGTTCTGATGTCGGTTATGACCTTGTTGGTGGCTACTACGATGGTAAGACCCATGACCACACACAAACACACACACACACACACACACACACACACACACACACACACACACACACACACACACACACACACACACACACACACACACACACACACACACACAGAGGGAGAGAGTGGACCTAGTAGCGACCAGCGAAGAGACGGGGCCAGGAGCTGTGGCTCGTCCCCTGCAACCACAAATAGGTAAGTACACACAAACACACACACGTCCTCTTGTTCTTCTTGTCTAGCATAACAATGCCTTCAGGTATTTTTTTTCTTCATCGTTCATCTATTGTTTGTTTGTGTGTGTGTGTGTGTGTGTGTGTGTGTGTGTGTGTGTGTGTGTGTGTGTGTGTGTGTGTGTGTGTGTATGTGTGTGAGCGAAACGTTGTGTAAATAAAAACTCGCTTCCATATAAGTGTTTCAGTTTTACTGTACCTGCTAGCATCGTTCTTTACCCTTACACTCTCAGGTTAAAGAATTACTCTGTACAGGTAACAACATATCTCTTTACCTCTCCCACAGCCGGCAACTATGTCAAGTTCGGCTTCCCGATGGCCTTCACCGTTACCATGCTATCCTGGGGCCTCCTCGAGTTTCCTGACGGCTATAGTGAAATGGGTGAGTTATCTTTCTCATACTGTTTACCCTACTGTTGTGGGTGAGGCATCTCTCTGTAGCATACAGCATCATTGTCTGTTTATCTCACTGTTGTTGTGGGTGAGGCATCTCTCTGTAGCATACATCATCACTGACTGTTTATCTCACGTTGTAGGGGGTAAAGGCATCTCTCTGTAGCAAAACAGCATCACTGACTCTTTACCCTCAGCGGGTTTGTTGTGGGTAGGCATCTCTCTGTAGCACACAGCAATCACTGACTCTACTCACGTTTTGTGGGTGAGGCATCTCTCTGTAGCACACAGCATCACTGACTCTTTATCTCACTGTTGTTGTGGGTGAGGCATCTCTCTGTAGCACACAGCATCACTGACTCTTTATCTCACTGTTGTTGTGGGTGAGGCATCTCTCTGTAGCATACAGCATCACTGACTCTTATCTCAGTTTTGTGGTGAGGCATCTCTTGCTACATACAGCTCATTGACTGTTACTCACTTTTGTTGTGGGGGGAGGCATCTCTCGTAGAAACACAGCATCACTGACTCTTTATCTCACTGTTGTTGTGGGTGAGGCATCTCTTTGCTGCATACAGCATCATTGACTGTTTATCTCACTTTTGTTGTGGGTGAGGCATCTCTCTGTAGCACACAGCATCACGACTCTTTATCCCTGTTGTTAGTGGGGTAGGCATCTCTTTGCTGCATAAGCTCATGACGTTTATCTCACTTTTGTTGTGGGTGAGGCATCTCTCTGCAGCATACAGCATCATTGACAGCAGAGTGAGGGCGGCACAGATAAGTGCCTAGATAAGATGAAAAACACAAAATGGGTGGGAATGGTTTTGTATATGTGTGCGAGCGAGACCTGCTGGCTGAAGCACTGATGCAACACTTGGGTATCTTTATTGTATAAACGTTTCGCCGGCCAGTGGAATGATGAAGCCACTGGCTGGCGAAACGTTTGCACAGTAAAGATACCAAGGTGTTCAACAATTGTTTAAATCATCAATTTACCGGTTTTCTAAATTATTTCTAATAGTAATAGGTGAGACGTGCCTAGCAAGGGGCAGTAGGCTTGCCTCAGTGCTAGTAAAAGGCAGTAGGCTTGCCTCAGTACTAGTAAGGGGCAGTAAGCTTCCCTCAGTGCTAGTAAGGGTCAGAAGGCTTGCCTCAGTGCTAGTAAGGGGCAGTAGGCTTGCCTCAGTGCTAGTAAGGGTCAGTAGGCTTGCCTCAGTGCTAATAAGGGGCAGTAGGCTTGCCTCAGTGCTAGTAAGGGGCAGTAGGCTTGCCTCAGTGCTAGTAAGGGGCAGTAGGCTTGCCTCATGCTAGTAAGGGCAGTAGCTTCCTCAGTGCTAGTAAGGGGCAGTAAGCTTCCCTCATGCTAGTAAGGGTCAGTAGGCTTGCCTCAGTCTAGAAAGGGGGCAGGGGCATCCCTCAGTGCTAGTAAGGGTTAGTAGGCTTGCCTCATGCTAAGTGGGGGACAGTAGGCATGCCTCAGTGCTAGTAAGGGTCAGTAGGCCTTGCCTAAAGTGCTAATAAGGGTCAGTAGGCTTCCCTCATGCTAGTAAGGGTCAGTAGGCTTGCCTCAGTGCTAGTAAGGGGCAGTAGGCTTGCCTCAGTGCTAGTAAGGGGCAGTAAGCTTCCCTCAGTGCTAGTAAGGGTCAGTAGGCTTGCCTCAGTGCTAGTAAGGGGCAGTAGGCATGCCTCAGTGCTAGTAAGGGTCAGTAGGCTTGCCTCAGTGCTAATAAGGGTCAGTAGGCTTGCCTCAGTGCTAGTGAGGGTCAGTAGGCTTGCCTCATTGCTAGTAAGGGGCAGTAGGCTTGAATCAGTGCTAGTAGGAGTCAGAAGGCTTGCCTCAGTGCTAGTAAGGGTCAGTAGGCTTGCCTCAGTGCTAGTAAAGGGCAGTAGGCTTACCTCACTGCTAGTAAGGGTCAGAAGGCTTGCCTCAGTGCTAGTAAGGATCGGTAGGCTTGCCTCAGTACTAGTAGAGGTCAGTAGGCTTGCCTCACTGCTAGTAAGGGTCAGTAAGCTTGCCTCAGTGCTAGTAAGGGGCAGTAGGCTTGCCTCAGTGCTAGTAAGGGGCAGTAGGCTTGCCTCAGTGCTAGTAAGGGTCAGTAGGCTTGCCTCAGTGCTAGTAAGGGGTAGTAGGCTTGCCCCAGTGCTAGTAAGGGACAGTAAGGTTGCCTCAGTGCTAGTAAGGGTCAGTAGGCTTCCATCAGTGCTAGTAAGGGTCAGTAGGCTTGCCTCAGTGCTAGTAAGGGCAGTAGGCTTGCCCTCAGTCTAGTAAGGGGCAGTAGGGTTGCCTCAGTGCTAGTAAGGGTCAGTAGGCTTGCCTCAGTGCTAGTAAGAGGCAGTAGGCTTCCCTCAGAGCTAGTAGGGGTCAGTAGGCTTTCCTCAGTGCTAGTAACGGGCAGAAGGCTTGCCTCAGCGCTAGTAAGGGTCAGTAGGCTTGCCTCAGTGCTAGTAAGAGGCAGTAGGATTGCATCAGTGCTAGTAATGGTCAGTAGGCTTGCCTCAGTGCTAGTAAGTGTCAGTAGGCCTTCCTCAGAGCTAGTAAGGGGCAGTAGGCTTGCCTCAGTGCTAGTAACGGTCAGTAGGCTTGCCTCAGTGCTAGTAAGTTGCAGTAGGCTTGCCTCAGTGCTAGTAAGGGGCAGTAGGCTTGCTTCAGAGCTAGTAAGGGGCAGTAGGCTTGCCTCAGAGCTAGTAAGGGTCAGTAGGCTTCCCTCAGTGCTAGTAAGGGTCAGTAGGCTTGCCTCAGTGCTAGTAAGGGGCATAGGCTTCCTCAGGCTAGTAAGGTCATAGGCCCTTGCCTCAGTGCTAGTAAGAGGCAGTAGGATTACATCAGTGCTAGTAAGCGGCAGTAGGCTTGCCTCAGTGCTAGTAAGGGGCAGTAGGCTTGCCTCAGTGCTAGTAAGGGTCAGTAGGCTTGCCTCAGTGCTAGTAAGGGGCAATAGGCTTGCTTCGGTGCTGGTAAGGGGCAGTAGGCTTGCCTTAGTGCTAGTAAGGGTCAGTAGGCTTGATTCAGTGCTAGTAAGGGGCAGTAGGCTTCCCTCAGTGCTAGTAAGGGTCAGTAGGCATGCTTCAGTCCTAGTAAGGGGCAGTAGGCTTGCCTCAGTGCTAGTAAGGGGCAGTAGGATTGCGTTAGTGCTAGTAAGGGTCGGTAGGCTTGCCTCAGCGCTAGTAAGGGGCATTAGGATTGCCTCAGTGCTAGTAAGGGTCAGTAGGCTTGCCTCAGTGCTAGTAATGGGCAGTAGGCTTGCTTCAGTGCTAGTAAGGGGAAGTAGGCTTGCCTCAGTGCTAGTAAGGGTCAACAGGCTTGCCTCAGTGCTAGTAAGGGGCAGTAGGCTTGCTTCAGTGCTAGTAAGGGTCAGTAAGCTTGCCTCAGTGCTAGTAAGGAGCAGTAGGCTTGCCTCAGTGCTAGTAACGGTCAGTAGGCTTGCCTCAGTGCTAGTAAATCAGTAGCTTCCTTCATGTGCTAGTAAGGGGCAGTAGGCTTGCCTCAATGCTAGTAAGGTCAGTAGCTTGCCTCAGTGCAAGTAAGAGGCAGAAGGCTTGCTTCATGCTAGTAAGGGCAGTAGTCTTGCCTCAGTGCTTGTAAGGGGCAGTAGGCTGCCTCAGCGCAGTAAGGGGCAGTAGGCTTGCTTCAGTGCTATAAGGGCAGTAGGTTGCCTCAGGCAGTAAGGGGCAGTAGCTTGCCTCAGTGCTAGTAAGGTCATAGCTTGCCTCAGTGCAGTAAAGGGAGTAGGCTTCCATCAGTGCTAGTAAGGGTCAGTAGGCTTTCCTCAGTGCTAGTAAGGGCAATAGGCTTGCCTCACGCTAGTAAGGTCTAGGCTTGCCTCAGTACTAGAAAGAGGCAGTAGATGCATCAGTGCTAGTAACGGTCAGTAGGCTTGCCTCAGTGCTAGTAAGGGCATAGCTTGCTATCATGCTAGTAAAGGGCAGAAAGCTTGCCTCAATGCTAGTAAGGGCATAGGCTTGCTCAGTGCTAGTAAGGGCAAAAGGCTTGCCTCAGTGTTAGTAAGGGGCAGTAGGCTTCCCTCAGTGTTAGTAAGGGGCAGTAGGCTTCCCTCAGTGTTAGTAAGGGGCAGTAGGCTTCCCTCAGTGTTAGTAAGGGGCAGTAGGCTTCCCTCAGTGTTAGTAAGGGGCAGTATGCTTGCGTCAGTGCCAGTAAGGGTCAGTAGGCTTCCCTCAGTGCTAGTAAGGGTCAGTAGGCTTTCGTCAGTGCTAGTAAGGGCAGAGGCTTGCCTCAGCGCTAGTAAGGGCATGGGCTTGCCTCAGACCATAAAGCAGAATTCATCAGTGCTAGTAAGGGGCAGTAGGCTTGCCTTCAGCCTATTAAGAGGCAGTAGGATTGCATCAGTGCTAGTAACGGTCAGTAGGCTTGCCTCAGTGCTAGTAAGGGGCAGTAGGCTTGCTTCAGTGCTAGTAAGGGGCAGTAGGCTTGCCTCAGTGCTAGTAAGGGTCAGTAGGCTTGCCTCAGTGCTAGTAAGGGACAAAAGGCTTGCTTCAGTGCTAGTAAGGGCAGTAGGCTTGCCTCAGGCTAGAAAGGGGCAGTAGGCTTGCCTCAGCGCTAGTAAGGGCAGTAGGCTTGCTTAGCTAGTAAGGGCAGTAGGCTTTCCTCAGTGCTAGTAAAGGGCAGTAGCTTGCGTCAGTGCAGTAAGGTCAGTAGTTTTGCCTCATGCTAGTAAGGGGTAAGTAGGCTTCCCTCAGTGCTAGTAAGGGTCAGTAGGCTTCTCAGTGCTAGTAATGGGGCAGTAGGCTTGCCTCAGGCTAGTAAGGTCGTAGGCTTGCTCTCAGTACAGTAAGGGGCATAGATTTCATCAGTTAGTAAGGGGCAGAGGCATGCCTCAGTGCTATAATGGCAGTATGCTTGCCTCGTGCTAGTAAGGGTCAGTCGGCTTCTCAGAGCAGTAAGGGGCAGTAGGCTTGCCTCAGTGCTAGTAAGGGCAGTAGGCTGCCTCATGCTAGTAAGGCAGTAGCTTGCTCTTAGTTCTGTAAGTGGGC